GAACTTCGTAGCTAAGTTGTCGTAGGTAAGAGGTTCTTTATGAATCTGGCCTCTGGTACCTTTCTTTAAGGGACATAAGCTACAGCTCCTTTAGGCAGCCCAAGACCAACACGCGTCCCTGACGTCACGCAGCTGCGGTGGCGCTGTCGACGACACTGCGCATGCGCAGAAGCTTCAGTTTATTCGAATTCGGTTTCTGCGCATGCGCAGTGCCCACACCTGGTGTGGGCAAACGCGGGCTTGTTTGTAAACAGCGTGTCGGTCTATAAGACCAAGAGCTACTTTCGGGATGAGGAAAGATACCCGATCCCCGCGACAATGCACTCTCATTCGGGATGAGCGAGTTGCGTTGGACAAAGAGACGAGCCTCCCGCTTGTGGAGTAGCCGGCCATGCCTTCACGGCAGCCAACATCTCCAATTCCTCTTTTTTTTTTTTTGTGATTTAATAAAGAAAGAAGAAGAAAGAGAAGACCCGGAGGCAGACGCAAAGAAGTAGCGGAGCAAACTCGGGGAAACACGGAGTTGTCGATCACGTTTTGCAACTTGTGTACCGTCCCTCCTTTAGATTAGATAACACGGCGGGCAATTTGCCACACCAGCGAGATATTCTAAAGAAAAGATGATTTTTTACTTGCACCATGCAATAAAATCAATAAAACAATTAATTACTAGTTCGTTTCAGAACGACATATTGCACTTCAAATAAAGTAAAGAATGCGTCTAAACCTGTTTAGACCAAAAATCATATATTGCTCGTTCGCGCGTCGGTTTCGCCGGGCAATCCCCGGTGCAATGAACATCAACTCTAAACCGTCCGTTTATTTGCCTTGAGATTCCGAACGCCTCAGGTACCTTTCTCTAAGGGACATAAGCTACACTCTAAAAAAAGGGGGTGTAGACTTTACACCCCTTGTCACATATACGACACCCCAAAACTTCAGTTGGCTGTAAAGCGCACTGACGTTGTACCGACGCTACGAAATTTCACAAGGGGCTTGATAGCCGAGTTGTACAACTCATTAAAAAAGTTAATGGAAGTGTGACTGACTGGAAAAAAAGTTACCGGGGTTTTCTAGGCTCAACTGCAAAACCTGTGTGTCTTTTCGCTGTAGACTTTGATGCGTACTTTAGCTGTATAATATGTTATATCACACCGTCATCAACCCTCTCGCAAAAGTTGGGGCTGTCACTTCGACGTGAGCGCGCTGTACGTCCAACTGAAGTTTTGGGGTGTCGTATATGTGACAAGGGGTGTAACGTCTACACCACCCTTTTTTTAGAGTGTACAGCTCCTTTAGGCAGCCCGTGTGAATGGAATATAAGACCAAGAGCTACTTTCGAGATGAGGAAAGATACCCGATCCCCGCGACCATGCACTCTCATTCGGGATGAGCGAGTTGCGTTGAACAAAGAGACGAGCCTCCCGACTGGAAGCCAAGAACCCAGCATGAAAGGTTCACTATACGTGAAGCACCGCCAATCACGGCTCGCGCTGATTCGGGGGTGGTTCCTTGGGAGACGCGCACCACGCATGGATAAAGATGCTGTCCAAGATGTTTAAAACTCCAGTGTCCAGGCCTAGGTTGAGAACTAGTGTGCTAAAGGTCGGAAGCTAATGTTCAAAGGGTTAAAGTCAAATTTGGCTGTTTTACCTGCCAAACAAACGAAGATCTTTCGACGTGCAACCGAAGGCTCGAGTTACACGGCGCCTTTTCCGCAATAAATCTCCGTCAGATTGCGGACCCCTCGGCCGGGATTCTAACCTGCCACCACGTGTTGCGTAAGTCGGCGCGTGGCGAGGCGTCCAAAGGGTGAGAAACTGCATGGTGTCCGAGACGTTGGAAACGGGTTTCCTCGCAATTAATTTGATCACGTTCGCTTGCGAGCGAGTTCTCGTACGTTACCTTGTCTAAGAAGGCACTCGGATATACACTGCAAAGACTTGCCTCGGTCTTTCGTATTGTGCACTCACACAGGTCAGTCAAAGGCAATGAACGCATTCGATGCTGAACCGCGGACTTTCCTCAACAGACCCCTATGTGAGCATGTGTTGGGTGGCCAACACACGCAACTTCACTCTACGTTCTTCGCGAACTTTCTTAGGCTGCCAGCGTCCGACCAAACCGAACTTGTTTACTTTTGAATGGACAGATAAGTACACGCGGTCCGGCGCAGAAAGAAAACGCTTTGGCGCTTTTTGGCATACCTGGGAATGAATGCAGCCATAAATAATTTCCACTTCGTTTCCTTTTATTATTCTGGTAGAGTCACTTGCATCTCTATGACTAGAACACCACGCTGCGTCTTCCCAGCCATAGCGATTTCATCGTCATCAACTCGGCCTTTGGCGCGAGTTCGCCATCACCAGTTTCTGCGGCTCGAAGAATATTTATGCACGGGTCATCACATCATCTCGATGATCCACAGAAATAGGACAGTCATATATAAGGCCCCGATTCAGAGCGAGCTGAATGTGTCAATGCGCTGTTGTCTTTGGACGTTCCATCTCGAGAAGTTTTACCTGTTTTCGAGGATCGCCGCAAGTATAACCAGATGGTCCACGTATGACAATGGGCTTGGGAGCGCCGTCCTCAGCTCGACATCACGCTGGATTGTTTTTATAATAAAGCTGTAAGCCACGGTCACAGTGCTTACATATCGAAACAAAATACAGTCTGCATAAGTGTGCAAACCATATACATAGGTATGAAGAAAACATGCTTAGAGGATGCTTGAAGCGTGGTCCGCAGCTAATTCTGTCATCACATATCTGTAGCGAACAACACCGTGTCTTTTGCACAGTGCGACTGTACTAGGGCTGTACTTATTTTCAGCAATTAATGAAAAAAAAACTCGGATGTTTTTTTGTTTTTTTTTTTTTAATTTCGGTTTTTAGAAAAATAGGAATGTCTACATGAACTCCGCACTTCCGTTGACATGACATTCCATTATTTTTTTTGTTCCAATTTTCAAGCAATAAGAGTGTTGTGACTATATGCATTTAGTTCCAACGATGCCAAGTGTTTATTTTAGAAATTTTGTGTTTTGTAACGTTGTTTTGTAGCAACACTGCACTGGGCTCGTGCACGCTTTGAGATCATGGCCCGCTTTGCTAGCATGGCCGTACGCGGAAGAAAAAAATTTCGATACTTAGCGTTGCGGTCGATTACATTAAGTTACTCGAGAAAAAAAAAAAAACTTTTGAAACACTTGTTTTTTTTTTGTCCTCGTTTCTTCACTGTCTTTAATGCCTTATATGAAAAAGAAGAAAAAAAAGGTCATATCAACAGTTGATAGCTTCAATAGTTTCACACAAAAAGAACGGACGAACGCAACAAAATAGCGAGGCCACCATTCCCCAGAGACAGCCGATGCGTGAAGTTGCAGCCCGTGTTGGAGATGCCATTGGGCAGGGAACCGTTTCTGGGCGTCCCAGCGGTCCAAGTCGCGCATCGATCCAATAGCGTGGGCGTCGTTCCGGTGCACTGCTTCTGGACGCCTCTCTTTGCACAAGCGCTGGCAGCACGCGAGGGCGCGTGGGGATGCACAACAGAGAAGAGCGCGGACGCAATCCCGAAGGGAACCTTCCCGATAGGGCTCCCGAAAAAGGGAGCCGAATCAGTCGTGCGCGGGAGGGCTTTCGCGGCCTTCAACGCCCGTGAATCGCCTACTGTGCGATCATTAGGGAGTTTTAGTAGATCGTTCCGATACCTCCCATAACGATACGATATTTGCGCAAAGGCGTCGGCGGAATATCGGGTATCGTTATCGGAACGATCTACTAAAACTCCCTAATAGGAAGTTTTACTCGACCGTTTTCGCGCTCCGATAATGGTACCCGATAGGACGATACGCTTCATGCGCAAAGGCGCAAGCGATCGGCACGATCTACTAAAACTTCATAACGAGAAAAAGAAAAACGACGTTCGGTATAGTACGCGGTATACCCCTTCCGTGGCGTGTCGTCGCAGTGCCTCCGTATACGCGAGTATGATCCGAAAGACGTAAAATAGACGCCGAAAGATTAACTTGAAAACTGGCACTATTAACTGCAACTGCAGTATGGCAGGATCAGCATGGTACCGGTCGACAAAGACAAAGTGTCGTCAGCCTTGGTGGCACACGAGACTGCGGCCGCCGCATGCTCCTTGGAGGTTGTTTACTTGACGAAAATGCTTGCTTTCGATTAAGAAATCGCTCGGGCTACGAGCCAGTGAATTTAACAAAGTTCATACTTTGTCCGTGTACGCGCAGAGGTTCTGCTAAACAACAAACCATAACCAAAGGTGTGCAAAACTGTACATTTCCAATCGAGTAGCGTCGAGTCTCTCGCAGTTTCAACAATTCTGAATTATTGATGCTGCCGCTACATGCCGAGACAAATGTGTATTGTTGTATTATATATATATTGTGTATGTATATTTAAGCTGTTAAACTTATTTCGGGAAAAGGGGGAAAAGGGGGGGGGGGGGGCAGAGGCACTGACAGGCAGCATATCTTTTTCTCTGGCCCTCTAGCGAATAATATCCGCAAAAAAAAAAACAAAAGTGTTCGGGAAAGAGCCGGGTTTTTCGAAAAAAAAAAAAAAAATATATTATATAACCGCCTAAGGGTGTAGCGCCCGCGGTTGGGACCAGATGACAGTACTTTCCGTTACCTAAATAAGAGGTTATTTTCGGAAATTTTCAATGTGCGAAACGGCGACCAATGGAGACCGCGATTACATGGAAATGAATGGCGAACGCTAACGGGGACGCGCCCTATTTCCTCATTCAAAATTTTCAAAAATCACTCATAACGAAGGTTTACTGTTTTGAAACTCTGGGATAGCCCCAGATTTGAACAGAGACTGAGCGTTCGGTGATGCGTAGTTTCTTTTTTGCGGTGAGAAAAACACGGTTCTCTTTTCTCCCAGACACCCAATACATCCCGGTCCTCCCTGTGAAAGCACCATGTTTGATCTGAAACCACGCCTTCGCACGTCAATGGGTTGACTCACCTAACTCCGGACGCTTCAGCCTTGGGGGACCTTGATAACACCGACAGCGTGTGAAGTACCTGGCAGAAACGAAGCGGGAAAAGACGCTCTGTCAGGCTCAGAACAGTTTATTCTAAACGAGGGAAGAACGAAACTTGGACGCGTTTCGTTCGACGCCTGCACCAACTTACACCATTCTTTTACTTTTTTGGAATACTTTAGTTTCTCTTCGCGGGTAATCAGGCCGTGTATGCACACTCGCATCTTCATTATTACTATTATTTTGCCACTCTACGAACGTTACCCGATTCCGTCGGGCGGGCAGATTAAAGGGAAATTGAAGCGGTTCTGCATTTGAGTAGAAATACTTAAATCGTCTTCATTTGATCTCCAAGGTCACGGATATCGAGATCATTTCTCAATTTGGTGCACGGAGACTGCGGAAAATAATTTTCGAAGTACCGCTGAGGCCTTTCTTTCCTCGGAGCGTAACGCCATGAAGGGACTCTTCAGAATCTCCGCTTTCGCGCCTCTTCGGTGCCTATCAAAGCTAAGCACGCGCACTCCTGCTATTTTCGAAAAGGTCAGAAAAAGAAGTCACGACAGGTGTCAGTACGGGAGAACATATTGCCCACACGAGCGACACGACTTTGGCGGCCGAAATATCCTTTTATGACGTAACGGCTGCAGGTCGGAGGTTTTTCGTGTTTTCTCGCGTATAGTTATATCTTTGAGGAAAACCAACGTGAGATTCAGATTCACGGGATAAAAATACTCTAAAAATCACCTCTAACTCGTTTTTTTTTAGAAGTCTTTTTAGCTTTTTTTTTTTTTTTTTTATAAATTAGGGGCTGTCCACGAAGTTTCATCAATAACACGTTGTGCAGTATCGGCCACAGGTGCCTCATCTACAAACACGTTCATCCTATGAAGCGGTATCTCGCATCGTTTCCACGTAATCGTCACTGTGCATTGTCGCGGAATGCAATATATTGGTACGAAAACGTTATATGCTCAACAGGGTCCTTGTAAGTCTCGAATGAATTCAAAATCAATATCGGGGGAGAATCTTATATGAATAAAATTAAAACTCTAATTTGCAATTAGGTATGACAGTGAAAAATCAATCGTGCGTAAGAAAAAAAAAATAAAAAGGAATTCGCGTTTTATTTTTACAGGGCGATTTCTTTTCAAGTATCTGTTGTACTGTGGTGGCAGCTCTTGTACCGTTTAGTATTAATGCTTGATTAACATCGACCACTAACATTTTTAGGTTCTTAAATTATCGTCTCGGCCATCGTGATCCCTCACCTGCTTGAAGTCTCCGTATTCGAAGAGCATGTGCGGCTCAAACAGGTCCGTGTTGTTGAGGTTGAAGACATTCTTGCAGGTTTGCAGGAACGTCCGGATGTTCTTCAGGCAGAGGAACTGCGCACAAATGAAAAGAAAGAAAACCGCAATAAGAAAAAGCATTCTGGAAGAAAAGTAGGTATACAAAGTGCATTGGCACAATATACTATCTCGATGCCGCTCATTCCTGTCCGAAGGTAATACTTTTATATGAACGCAAAGGCAATTAAGAACTCAAAGTGGAAGTTTGATGTAATGCTTCTAAGTTTAGACCATAAAAAAAAAAAATCTCGTTCTAAATTATGTGCCATAATTCACAAACATCTATATGCCTTCTTTATTGTTCTTTTTGGAACTGGCACTCCAATCACAAACATGGGATGGGTACCTATTACCTAACACCCAAAAAGAGTCAAGGAGCACCACAACGTTCCACGACTAAACGAATGGGAGCGCGCTGGTAAGTGAGAATAAAAACAACATATAGGACGAAAAACAGGACATGACATCTTTTCATGTTGATTTGTCCTGTTTTGGTCTTACATGTTTCTTTCCTTTTAGCCCTAACGCACGGTTCGCCAAAAAAAGAAAAACAAGGATATGTCCACGAACTAATGTCCTTCTCGTTGATCAGCGGAAACAAGGCAGTAAACAGGAGCCCCGTCCGTGATAGCCGTGCCAAGGGGGACACTAACTAAAAGGCAGGTTTCCCCATCGGCACAGAAGAGGCAGCGATGGCCACCGCTGCGTACCTGGCGGCTCTGGGGGGACCCATTCGTGCGCGCGGGGACACCTCTTTGCCGCCCATAAAAAAGAGACAGGCGGCCGGCCTGTCTTTCTCACGGCCTTCCCGTCTACGGTCCCTACTTCGTTCACCCCAAAGCTAACAGTGCGGTGGGAGCTACGCGTTCTCCCGACCAATCAAACGCCCCCCTTTCATCACCTGACTCCCATCTCTGAGCGTGTGCAAGGAGGAGAGCGTGATCACGTGGCAAAAGATAGGCGTGCGACTGGTCCAACGAGCACGTGTAGCTTCCACCGCGCCGTCAGCTTAGGGGAGAACGAACTTTCGTCTACGCACACACAAACAACGGCCATTCGCCGGGACAAGGGCCCGTTGTCCTGGACCAGACAGGTGAAGGGCGAGCGACATAAACGACCATTCCCGGTGTGGGGGAAAAGGTAGGCATCCAAGGGCGGCCCGGAGGGAGAGGAGAACGCGGGGAGACAAAGTGGAAAGGCCGGGTGCAAAGAGAACCAACAGAAATGACCGCAGCCGAAAGCGACCGGAGGCGGGGAAGGGGGAAAAAAAATGGCACTTGGCGGCAGCAGCAGCGGCGGCTGGGGCCCATAAACCATTCCGACGGTTCGCCACCGGAGTGGACCGTAATTGAATCGTGCTGTTCTTGCACGGAATAAAACGAGCGAAAAATGCGGCAGGTAGACTCCGCTGCGAGGTGGACATCACGATTGTTTTATATTTTACCTCTCCTAGCTGTTATTCAGAAAGTAGCGAGTTTGTCGCCAGCAGGACGTTAAATAGCCCAAGGTACGGAAGACGAAAACCTTTCCAAATGGGAGGGAAAGAAGACGGATACACCGCGGCCAGTCAACGGAGCACGCGCGAAAACTTCTCTCGTGCGGGTGCTTGTTTCCACAGAGAAATACGCGGAGTCACGTCCCTAGCCACCTGCCTAGTCTTTGCAGCGCTGCATGCGACTTACGGGACGGAAGTACATCTGTTAAGTAATAGACGGATCGATCGAAAAACTGACACAATCTATATAGATGGAATCTTATCCGTCCGAATAGACGAGAGATAATATCTGGCTAAAAGATTATAAATCTGAATTCGGTTAATAACTGGCCGTCAGAGTGACTTAAAACGTTGCTCCAGTTACTGAAAAAACGAAGAACGATAATTAAAGGACCCATGAAACGAAATTTGGGCTGGGGTAAATCAATTTATATTGGGATTTTACTAATAGCGCATCGTTCAGTGGGCCAAAAGAACAAAGGTAGAAAGTCAGAAGCCTGACTTTCGCTACGAAAATTTGCAAAACATAGCGGACTACTTCGTACCTCCTTCCCTTCGTAAACTCTCCGCCTTTTCACTGCGATACATCCGCGGACCCCGCAGCGCGTCACCAGGCTACTAGCCACCATAACCGGGCCCCCGCAGCGCGTCACCAGGGCCCAAGCGAACGTCACACAACACCGGACCTCCCTTAATCCCTTTACCCCTAAGCTGACATTGCGGTGGAAGCTACGCGCTTGCCGGACCAATCAGCCGTCTCCCTTTCATCCCCTGACCTCATTCTCTGCGGGTCGGTATGCGCGAGAGAGCGTGATCACGTGGAAAATGTGTGGCTGGCCCAACGAGCACGTAGCTTCCACAGCACTGTCAGCTTCGGGGTGAACGGGGTGGGGAAAGCAACTAGTCGGAATTTTGAGCGACGGGCTAATCTTCTAGGGGGACAATGGCTGTGTCCGGCTGCAAGCGAGATTCCGAGCAAGAGGGGACTCCCCCCTTTCCGACTTCTTGAACTGTTTGTTACAATGCGCGATTTATGAGTTGAGGAGGAAAGCTAAACAGAAAACAGTTGAAAAAGCGTTTCATGACTCCTTTAATAGTCGCAAAATTCGGCAACGGAAGCTTTTTACCCATTATGCGAGCGCCAGAAACCATTTTTTTTTTTTCTAGTGCCTGGGAAAAAAAGGTGGACTTGGGAGGGTGTTTACGTGATCACCTCTTCAGCAGCAAAACATTTGTAGACCCACGCATTCGAAACAGAACATAGAAGGAAATGAACATATCAGGCAGCGAAGCGTGGTGCCGGCCAAGTTTGCGGTCGGATCAACTACGCTACCAGCAATCGCTGCTGGTGCAATCCCCATTATACATTATAAAAATAACTATTCGAGCGAAAGGAAGATTCAATTACTCGTTTAATTCAACTCCTGGCCCAGCCACGTCTGCCTCAAAAAAGCCGTTGCTTGTTCCAGCAGCAAAGCGTACTCCATATCTGGGCTTACCACTGTTTTATAGGCGCTCAATTTAGCAAAGCCTGGCACATCGACGACGGAGCCATAGAGCGTGCGGCCGCAGGAAAAAGGAGAGGAGGAGCGCGCCGAACGGTGACCAATATGGTAGCGCAGAGCAGAAAGGGCGGACCTAGAGTTCCTGTATAGGCTCCCTACGGGAGCCAGAGTTGCGCATTTGTTTTCCCCGCGCCGCCACGCCGCTATTCGCCGAGATCCATCACGTGAGGAGCAAAGCATCCGGTGGCGTGCAAGAAAGCCACCTTTACGGTCGCTCCGCCGACGTTTCTCTTGCCCCGGCGTATGTTTCCCTGCTTTCGGCCTCCTTTTCCTCCTCTCCTGTTTTCCATGCGCGGCGGCGCGCGCGGCGCCGCTATTCGCCAAATTTTGTCACGTGAGGAGCAAAGCATCCAGCTCGTGTGGGAAAGCCGGCGCTACGGCCACGCGCCGAGGCTGAATGCGCAACTCTGCTACCGTAGGTAGCTATACAGGAACTCTAGGCGGACCTAGACAGCGAGCGCTTGGGTCATGAGCGGCCGCTCCCCGAACCACGCTTGTTTTTGTGTTTTCGTCACCGTCGTTTTTGTACTCCGGGGGAAACGGGCGCGGCGATTCGAAAGGGCGCAGGGAGAAACGGGAAAGGGAGGGACGTTGAGTTTCTCCTCTCCGCGATAGCGACAAGAAAAGAGAGAGAAAAAAAAAAAAAAGATTGTTTCTGCGTTTGGCCGTTCGCTCTTCTGTGGCGCTAGCGGGCAAGGTTCTCTCCGCTCCCGTTTCTCCGCCTCTCCTTTCCCATTTACGGCGGCCGTCTTTTCACGCGACGCGCCAGGCTTTCTCCGCATTAGCCCCGAGAGCGAACACAAGCGTCGCTGCGGTCGCCGCGCCCTGATTGGGTGAGGTGTACCGTGACGTCAGGGGGAGTACTCCGCTCCGCGATCTCGCATCGGCTCGCTTCCTAGCACCGGTTTCCTGGTTTGGCGTTGTGTGCCGCAAGCTCTTCGAGGAGCTGGACTTTGTTTACCCGGTGTATACAAAACGTTGCGTTAGGCCGATATTGACGTGCTTCCGTACATTTTATAAGCCTGCTTGTCCCTTTTAGTTTTAAAATTGGGTTACAAATCTCGAAAGCTATCGGCGGAGGCAATTCCGCCGATGAACCTCCTCGTCCGTCCAGACACACGGCAATCTTGCGAGGGGTCGGTGAAGCGGTGGCGCAAGTGTTTCAGACGCTAGAATTCTGTTCCTTGCATGTTCATGATTTAGGACGATATTACATCCCGCTTTCAAGGCATTTGAAGTGGCATTTATATCATGGGCCTATGGGTTGTCGGCAAATTAGCTCGCGACCCCGACTCTGCGCTGCCACTCTGTATGCGCTGGTTCGCAGATGTTTTAAAGGCCCTGCGTCTGATGATCTTTGAAGTGCTCGTGGAACAGCGTTGTTTTACATAAATGTAGCTTCTTCGTGAATTAATTGTATAGTTTATACACGTATGCGGGCATATTTCTTAGAAGATGCACAATTACTGGAAATTAGTTTGTATGGTAGCAGCAAAAACGGCTGAATTGCCCCCAGTTGCCTGTATGATATGTATTGAACTGCCAAAAATATGCACAGCAATAGTGACGTAATTTGGAATGGTTATACTTTTTCCTGACATTCTTTATTCCAGCCTTTGGTATTCGGAAAATACAGCGTTGAGTCTGAACTGTCATTTCCAATTAAAAGAGACACTGCTGCAGGTCCCCAAAAGCTTCCTCGGCCTCCACGCTCCCTACAGCTAGACTCTCTGACAGCAGAGGAAAACAGGGGTAAAGGCAAGCATTCGGACGGCTGTCCAGTGGTAGGTGCAGCACTAGTAGCAGAAAATGTGGAACCTGTGAAGGGCGACAGTCTGCGTGAGAAAAGCTTCTGATATTTTAGCTTCAGGACAATTCGATTTAAGTAAAATCTCAATTTTAGGGCTTAAGGGACTAATAACAAGCTAGACACTTTTGCTTACGTTTGTTATACATTACTCAAGGGTAGATATAAA